TTAACTTTGAGAATAAAATACAATTTTAATAATCAACAATATAATAAATACGTAATTTATTTTTGTAAAATCATTTGAGTCGTAGAAACTTAATTTGGTACAAACAACTTAATTAAAAAGTTTTCTTACAACTATTTAGGAATAATATTTGGTCTATTTTTTTAGAAGCTGGGCAATTACGTCGCATATTACATAATAATGAAAACAAAATTACACCGTCAAGTCAGTCAAATCTACTAGAGTCCGTTTCATTTCGGTTCGGTCGGTAAGTCGGTTATGGCTGTTGTATTTAAATTGGCGATGCGCGCTAACCGTATCCGCTGCTGTAAGTCGGTTCGTATTGGTCGGTCAAATTTTATTAGGGTCGGTAAAGCACGTTAGGAGCCGCACGCGATTTGTGGATGGCGGCATAAACAAGAATTGACAGGCGCGCATGCACGCAGCGCGATACGAACGAATGCCACGATAGAACCGGTTTACGAAGACGTTAACCGATTCAACTCGGTCCATGCTCAAACCGGTTTGAACCGGTTTGAAAAGTCGAGTCGTTACATCTCTAGTTTTAAAGCGAAATTTTGTTTTGGGCGAAACGGAAATTTTTTTTTATTACATTTTTATATAAAAATAAAACCACTTCATAAACTTTTAATCTGTACAAAATCGCAATCGACAGTCATTCAACAGTCTCTCTTTCTCATTCGACGCGTACGGAGTCATAGAGTACATTGTTATATGTTCGTTGATCCAGAAACTTAAACATGGAATTTTCTAATGAAGATCTAGCGTGCTTGTTAATGGCTACTGATAGTTGTCATTATAAATTAAAACGCGAGAGAATCGGTGTTCACCAAATTAATAAATTAAGGAGTGAATATGGGGAATACCACCATTTGTTTCCCCAATTCAAAGATGATAGGAAACGTTTCTTCCAATATTTTAGGATGGAAGTGGAAACGTTCTACTACATTTTAAAAAAATGTGAACCTCAAATGATGAAGAATTGGTGTAATTTGCACAAACACAAGATTCTTCCAGAAGAACGCCTTGTTATAACCATTAGGTAAGAATTTATTACAATCTCACTAATCTGGATATGATGGGAACAGACTGTCCGGATTAACCGGAAAGCTGGGTCTGGATTCGCGAGGGTAGTGTAATTTGAATAATTTGTATGGTTTATAGTATATGTAGGAACAATCATTAATAATACAAAAAAATGCTATGTTAATGAAATTATTTTTAATGACAAATAACATTTTTTTTATTATGTAATGAGTTTTGCATATCTATGTTAAACTTTAAAATTTTAAAGTAAATATTATCATAAAAAAATTATAAACATAGATAATGACTAATAATATAGCAGTTTTGTTTAATATAAGACTTTATATATGTTTGCTCTTAAGAACTTAAAATTTCAATCACAGCTTTTAATTTACAATTTACTATACTATCACAAATATTATATTTATATAATCCACTCAATTAGGGTACAAAATTATGGCGAACTATAAAAAGAAACAAAATTTTTTGGTTATTAAAAAACATTCATAACCTTGAAAATTGTATTTTTAAACTGTAATATTATTCAATGAGTACTTACATCGAATTGATCTTTGCAAAAAAATGACTTTCAGTGGATAAAGTTACAGGATTTAGCAAGTTTTAAACATGTGTTCATGAAGTATGTTTTTTTCTCTTGGCAATTTAAACCACAACTTTTCTAGTCTTTTACCAAGTGTATCATGATAACTACTAAATTTTTCATGTGATCTATTAGAAATCATGGTTTTATAATATTAACTCGGAAAATTTATTTCCTACGTGCTTGCGTGTGTTCGCTTACAAATGTTTTGACGTCATAGCATAGATAAGTCTATAGAATATACAGCGTTTTTGTATGTCTTGTAGGTAAAAAAAATACTTTTTTTTTCGGTCTGATAGAACAATCATTAACATTTCAAAACATAATTGCAAAAAGTGTCAACTAGCCTATTTAACAACAATGTATCCTTGTCATTCTCTATAAAGAATGAAAAGGAGAGACTGATGTTAAATTTAGTTTTAAATTTAGAGAATCATGCCAGAATCGACATCCACCAGTGTCTGTGTCTGATAGTAAATGTCTACCACAGCATGGTTTACCATGCTGTGGTATGGTATAGTTGAAAGCATTTATGCTTCTAATGCAGCGACTTCTCCAAGAACTCTTTGTTCTATCGCCCGTTTTTAAAGAAATTGTATAATAAAATACTCGTTTAATTCGGTTTCACCTAACTTCTTCATTTCACTCAGAAAAAAGTACGTAGATCTACGTACTTTTCATATGCAAAATTTACCAATTCTACGTAATTTTCTCATCGGGCCTACGCATTTTTCAAAATCCGAGTTGGCAACACTGCCGAGCGGCGCTGGTGAATTCAGAATCTGAATGACCTAAACATTCCGGTAAAGTGTCTGACTCCGAAACCTGCGCGGCCTGCTGCCACTATGGCCACCCTGCTTTAACTACACTGTTTATTTCTCGCGCTTGTTTTCAGAATCTGAATCTGACTCTGAATCTGAGTGCACTCTGGCCGCACCCTAAGGGTACGGCCAGAGTGCACTCAGATTTAGATTCAGACTCAGAAAACAAGCGCGAGGAATAAACAGTGGGTGCGGCCAGAGTGCACTCAGATTCAGAGTCAGATTCAGATTTCGAAAACAAGCGCGAGAAATAACCAGTGTAGTCTAAGCAGGTTGCCTGCTTTTTCTCGCGCTTTGTTTTCTGAGTCTGAATCTGAATCTGAATCAGGAGTGCACTCTGGCCGTACCCTTCGATTACAGTGTTTATTTCTCGCGCTTGTTTTCGAAATCTGAATCTGAATCTGAATCTGAGTGCACTCTGGCCGCACCCTGTAGTTTTAAAGCAGGGTGACCATAGTGGCAGCGGGCTCGCGCAGGTTTCAATGGCTTAAGGGAGGGGGCGTATTTACTGCAACAGGTATTACAAACCAAGTTTACCAATGACCTCTCGGTTTCAATGGTGTGCAAGTCGTGACACTCGTGAGTCGTGACACATAAAACGCTAAAAACGTACAAACGTACAAACTATCCTGACGAATTGCAGATACGCGGTTGCCGCCTGGTTCATAAATTATAACCCATACCTAGTGTTCAGTGTTGCCAACTCGGATTTTGAAAAAGGCGTAGGCCCGATGAGAAAATTACGTAGAATTGGTAAATTTTGCATATGAAAAGTAAGTAGATCTACGTACTTTTTTCTGAGTGAAATGAAGAAGTTATTTGAAACCGAATAAAACGAGTATTTTGTTATACAATTTGTTTAAGAACGGGAGATAGAACGAAGAGTTCTTGGAGAAGTCGCTGCATTGGAAGCATTTACCATGCTGTGGTAGACATTTGCCATCAGACACAGACACTGGTGGGTGCCGATTCTGGATGGTTCTCTAAATTTAAAACTTAATTTAACATCAGTCTCTCCTTTTCATTCCGTATAGAGAATGACAAGGATAAACTGTTGTTAAATGGGCTAGTTGACACTTTCTGGAATTATGTTTTAAATTGTTAATAATTATTCTATCAGATCGAAAAAAAAAATTTTTTGAAGTTATACTTCTTTAGGCGCGTTATGAAAAAATGATGAGAGTGAAATTTTAAGATGCGCGCGCATCACTGTAACAGAAAATTCTAACAGCATGAAGTTGGTCGCTAAAGCGACCGTTACTTTTGTGTTTACCGCACATTAAGAAAATCTACCAACAAAATAGAAATAGAATCTCTATTTAGTGGGTGCTAACGACTGCATTGTGAAGGCCTTTCAAAAGTATTTATTAATCTGGAACAACGGAACCAAAGCGCGAGTCAGGAGACTACAGCGCCATCTCTTGACCATTGGTGTAGTAGAACCAAAAACCACATCTTTATTTTTCAATGTTACTTTTATGTTATTATTGTAATAAAGTAACAGTTATAGGTATTCATATTTATAATATTTATCCACATGTTTCTAGTTTGTATATTCGGAATACGTGTTTGAGTTTCATACAAGTGCAAATCACATATGTTCTAATAAATTATATTCAGTAGCGATTTTAATTGAATATTTTGATTATTTATTTATTTTTTCAAATTAAAACTGAACTTTATTGACTGTGTCCTTTTCCAGACTTTTTATTAATTTATTGTAATTAATTATTTGCATGCAATTAAAAACTAATTTTAAACGATGCCAAAGAAGGATAACTTCTCACGCGCCTACATAAGTACACGCACCCATTTTTTTTTTACCTAGAAGACATACAAAAACGCTCTTTAGTCTATAGACTTATCTATGCTATGGCGCCAAAACATTTGTAAACAAACACTCGCAAGCACGTAGGAAATAAACTTTCTAAGTTAATATTATAAAACCATGATTTCTAATAGATCACATGAAAAATATAGTAGTTATCAGGATACAGTTGGTAAAAGACTCTAAAAAAGTTATGGTTTAAATTGCCAAGAGAAAAAACATACTTACACATGAACATATGCTTAAAACTTGCTAAATCCTGTAACTTTATCGACTGAAAGTTTTTTCTTTTTGCAAAGATCAATTCGATGTGAGTAGGTACTCATTGATAATAGTAAAAGTTTAAAAATACAATTTTTAAGGTTATGAATGTACCTAATAAGTCAAAGAGTTTTGTCGTTTCTGCTTTCACAAATCCTGCGTCCAGCATTAATTTAGTCAACAAAACCAATAACGGGAACCTTTTCTACAAGATGCAAGAGTGTTTAGGATACATCTTCTTAAATATTCAATATAAAATATTCTTCTTTATTCTAGTGAATTAAGTTATTTTACAAATTTGAAAAAAATTAAGAAAATACGTAGATTCTGGGACTTAAGTTAGTAGGTTTCCAGAAAAGGCCTAAAATACGTAGATCTACGTAAAAAGACGTAGAGTTGGCAACACTGCTAGTGTTATCGATCATAGACATGTGAGTGATTAATAACAGTTGGTAGTACTGTACTCCATAGACAAGACAAAATTATCATATGATCGCTTTTCACATGACCGATGGTCTCTCTTCGTCGTCCATTTTTTGCATTTTTATGACATTTCGGGACTAAAATCAAAGCTTTTTAGTTCGTAAGAGTCCATTAGTGTAGTTAATCGAAATGGCTTTCAGCCGTACAGTGTTCCTTACATTAGTTTTAAGTGTAGTGTGCAGTATAGCGGTTCAAGTGCCTGTCTTTTCATGGGGTGATTTGAGCCAAGGGTCCATCAAATCAAATCCCCTGATTGTGGTCTCTGCAGATGAGTACAACTCAATTTTGAAGCAGGACCTGAAGGATGACCCGTTTACGGTGATATTTATAGAGGAAACCCTCTCAGTGGAAGATTTTTCACGTAAAAATGATGATGGGGAGACATCCTTCCCCTATCTTCACTCCAACATTGGAGAGGCGCTATATCTGCCATCAGTGGAGAACCCTCTGCAAGTTCTCAACAAATTAGCCGACCCAGAGAAGGTAAACCATGTTAAGCTGACAGAGAATGGGCTTTCTGCCGACATTGAACCTGAAAGTGGTAAATTCTTGTTTATCAACCTGAAAGATGCCCGCGAAGGTGAGTCCCGAGTGGATTTGCTTCGTCGGCACAACGATTTCATGGAAGATATGTTTTCTAAACTCCAAGAACGCTACAATACTGTTGTTGCCATATACACTGCTCATTATCCATCTTGGACTGTCCCAGAAAGCCATTCGCGAGTGCGTCGTCAAGCTAACGTGTCCCAGCCTCACACCAATGATCACATTTTTGATGGTCTCCGTATTTATGCCGAGAGAATTGTGTATAGCGATAGTAAAAATGTAACGGATCTTGGCAACATTATTGCTGGCAGTTCTGAGGTCAACACTACGTATGTGTACACTACTTTAGAATTCAGTGGGGCACCCGTCAAATTGGTATTGAATTTCAGAAATGAAGCTGGTTACTGGTTCTTTGGTGAGTAGTAGATTAGTAGTTCTCAATAACCAAATGTTGATTTTTTTTAATGTTGAAAATTTCTAAGATCCACTTCTAATTTTAATTTATAAATAATGTTGAAATAAATCTTACTAATGCATATTAAACAGTAACATGCTAATATAAAAGAAGATGGAAATTAAAGGGTCCTATGTCACAAGATCAGGAATTCCCTAAAAATTAGTCAATAAGTTTTATTCTGCAAAATCTGAAAAACCTACATTGCATAAGCTGTGTGAACCTAGCACCCGACTTTGGAAAATCAAAGGCTAAACTGTACTTCCAGGGCCCAAGTGGTGATACTTCACACTAGGTTAGGTTAGTGTTGTGACCATAACAAGCGAGCGTGCCGCGGCAGCGGCCGGCGAAGCGCCAGCAAAAAAAACTGTTAAAAAAGACCTTTTCTTCCAAAAACATCAAGTATCACCTTTTGGGCCCTGGAAGTACAGTTTTACCAAATCAATTTTTTTCTTAAGGATTCTTAAAGACTTTAGTATGTAGTTGATTGTAGTAAAAATTATTTTGTTTGTTGTTGTAGTTGCTTTAAAAAAAAGGTTATGGGACTTCGAAAAATCAGTATCATCCTGTTTCAACCATACCAATTTATTTTTATTGATTCTCATTGAGAATCGTTTGTAGTTGATTGTAGTGAAAGAATTTTCATTTTTAGTTGCTTAAAAAAAAGTTATGGGATTTTGAAAACTCTGTTTCACCCAGTTTCAAATGTACCCAATTTTTTTGATTGATTCTCTACGAGAAGTGTTTGTGGTTGATTTTAGTGAAAGAATTTTTGTTTGTAGTTGCTTCAAAAAAGAGTTCTGGTACTTTGAAGAATCAGGATCACCCCGTTCCAACCATAGCTACCCAATTTTTTTGATAGATTCTCATCGAGAATCGTTTGTAGTTGATTGTACCGAAAGAATTTTCGTTTGCAGATTCATCTACAAACTATTCTCGATGAATCAATCAAAAATATTTTTCCATATACAGATATTTTTTTATGTTAACTTGAAGTTGGATTTTTCACAGCTTCAAGGGACAGTAGATCCGAGTATATGGTTTTAATTTCAACTCAACACTTCCACACATTCTCAAAATGAAGGGGTCTTGTCAGACAGACCAACATGCGGACAATAAAGTGATCCTATAATGGTTCCATTTTTTCCTGGCTTTGATAAATAATACTAATAAAATAAATACATATTTCCAACACTCACACCAATTAGCCTAGCCCCAAAGTTGTCACTGTAAGGCTTGTGATATGGGATACTACTTCTATCTGTTAGAAAGAATACATATTGTATATATATAAGTAAATTTATATAGATATACATATTAAACATCCATGACTGTAGTACAAATGCTCATATTCATCACACAAACATCTGCCCCCACCGGGATTCGAACCCGGGACCTCTCGAGTCGGCAACACCATGAAACCCGGCGTATAAACCACTCGGTCACGGAGGTCGTCAAATGATGTACGATGTATTGAAATAGACAGCAGTGTTTCCAATTTCATTTATTTATTTTTCAACTGTTGTTCACAGACACTGTCACTGTTTTGAATGGTTCAAGCACGGAGGATCTGATGGGCACCACTGAGATTTATGCCTTGGACGGGTTCTCGTACCGCTGCGGGGAGAGCATAACCTTCACGGGTTACAATGAGACTTCTAAGTATACCAACGTCACCTTTATTGATTTGAAGGTAAATATACCATGATCATCAGCCTATGAACGACCCACTGCTGGATCACAGGCCTTCCCTATGGATGGAATAGGGAGATTGGGGCCATGACCCAAGACTGCAGATGCAGCCGGGACCAACGGCTTAACGTGCCTTCCGAAGAACAGAGCAGCTTGAGATACTAAGTTTTTGGTCACCCATCCAATTACTGACTATTGTGAAAGTTGCTTAACTTTCACGATCAAGGACAACAATACAGCTCAAACGTTTGTAGAGAGAGAAAAGAAAACGCACTCGCCAAGCCAAGCGACGCGGACTCGCCGTTTCGCTCGCGCTGCGTTGAAGCGTACAGTTCTGTCTCGCTCGCTCGATTGAATGTTTATTTACAGAAGTGTGCGTGCGTAAGAGTTGCTTATGTAGTTGAGTCGGAGCATATTTTATTTGATGTTAGTATGAGCGTACCGTATCTTCCCTTTTTGTTTTAATCTATGTAAAGTTCTTCCTATGTAATTGCCGTTTTTCATGAAATAAGTTAACGCACTTTCTTTTCTAATTTTTTTAATTTTTGAAGTTATACTTCTTTAGGCGCGTTATGAAAAAAGGATGAGAGTGAAATTTTAAGATGCGCGCGCATCACTGTAACAGAAAATTTTAACAGCATGAAGTTGGTCGCTAAAGCGACCGTTACTTTTGTGTTTACCGCACATTAAGAAAATCTACCAACAAAATAGAAATAGAATCTCTATTTAGTGGGTGCTAACGACTGCATTGTGAAGGCCTATCAAAAGTATTTATTAATCTGGAACAACGGAACCAAAGCGCGATTCAGGAGACTACAGCGCCATCTCTTGACCATTGGTGTAGTAGAACCAAAAACCACATCTTTATTTTTTGTAATAAAGTAACAGTTATAGGTATTCATATTTATAATATTTATCCACATGTTTCTAGTTTGTATATTCGGAATACGTGTTTGAGTTTCATACAAGTGCAAATCACATATGTTCTAATAAATTATATTCAGTAGCGATTTTAATTGAATATTTTGATTATTTATTTATCTTTTCAAATTAAAACTGAATTTTATTGACTGTTCCTTTTCCATACTTTTTATTAATTTATTGTAATTAATTATTTGCATGCAATAAAAAACTAATTTTAAACGATGCCAAAGAAGGATAACTTCTCACGCGCCTACATAAGTACACGCACCCATTTTTTTAATCAAAGTACCCATTGCAATCAATGCACTTTTACCAATTTAGTGGTAGCCTATTGATGACCTTTTTCAAAACGTCTGCTGGTTGGGTGGCAACAAATTCTTCAAAGGAATTTTGAACTGCCTCGCGGTCATTGCTCTTTTTCTCCGCTTAGAAGTTATCCAAATTCTGGAAAAAGTAGCAGTCTGTTGGGGCAAGGTCTGGTAAGTACGGTGAATGACGGAGAACTGCGAACCCCAGCTCGTATTAGTGTTTGAACCGTATACGTCGTAGAAGTCGCGTGCCGCTTCTGCCGCTTTGCTGCCTCGAGACTATTCATACTCCATAATCACTTGAATTTTTAGCATATGCATGATGGCGGAAAACGTACAAATACGCTAAACATTAACAAATGATTAATTTTCAAAAAAAATCTATATTTTAAAAACTGATGACCCTCGCTCCGGGTCGTTTCTGGCACAAAGACGGTCTATTTCCATCCAGCGTGGCAATGCTGTAAGCATAATGGGCACCTTTGCGCCAGGAACGATACAGGGATGATATTAAGATTAATGGAATAATATAAAAAAAAAAAAAAAATGTATGACTTAAAAATAAAAATAATTTGAACTTAGAATTATTATTAATTTTAATTATTAGCAAAAAAGAAAATAAAGTGTGCTTGCAATAGCCAGTACGGCTGTAAATTAGTAGGCCTGCAAATTTTGTATGCGTTATGGAATATACTCTCTTCTAATAATAGAAGTAACTGTGGCTGTATTGTTAATTCGCCGCATTAAAATTACTTGCGGAATCTTACCCTCAAGTGGGTAATAGAACCTAAGGCATGGAATACTGGAAGGATTTTGTCGTGTGTTGATCAGGCAGGCAATACCCTTATTTGCCACCTTTTTTACGAATAATAGGCAATGCGTTTGACCACAATCTCGCCTGATGGAAAGCGATGATGAGGCCTAGGATGGTACACGCCTGCCTAGAACACGCCTTTTCACTCTGGCCTTGAAGATGTCCAGATTATATTAGCCCGGCAAAACAGACCACGGCAAGGATTTCCACTCCCTAGCCGTTCGCATAATGAAAGCGGAAGCAAACCGCTTAGTGCGAATGGGAGGAACTTCGACAACATAAGGGTGAAAGCCCCCGCTGCGCCTGGTCGTCCGGTGGTGGAAAGGGGAAGGGGGGATCAAATTATGTAATACCTCCGCACACTCTCCGAAAGTGACCGATAAAATACCGAGAGGAAAGCTACACGTCTTCGATGGTCAACCACCGAAGAAGGCTCTGGAGACTAGCCTCAACGACCCTTTTAACTTAAAAAAAAAACTAAACAACCGCTCTCCATCCACAGGTGCAACCTTTCTTCAGCACGCTGAACGCATCACAGATGGTGTTCGGTGATTCGTTCAACTGCGTAGGTTTCTTCTCCGTACCGATATGGTCGAGCCTGTTCGTGGTGTTCATTCTGCTGTCCATCACTTTCTACGGCATCATGATGATGATGGACATCAGGACTATGGACCGCTTCGACGATCCCAAAGGGAAGACCATCACCATCAATGCCGAGTAACGAGTTACGGGCGTACACAGAGATTACAATTAATGTCACCGCATCGGAAAGTTTCAATACATTTAGTTGCATTTTAAAATTATATTCACTTTCGGTCTGTAGTCAAAATAAAACAGTCTGTATACTAAACTTGTCGTGCAACAAATTGTTAAAAAACCACCAGTTTGTTCTCGAAAAATATTTGACAAATTATATTTTTGGTATGTAGTGAAAGTGAACAGTCATTGTATTTAAACTAAAAGGCGTCTTTTTGCTGTCGAAAAATTCAATGTTGATTATAGCTCTATTTTGTAAATATTTAAATCATATTAGCTGTGATCCTCGCATGTTACCTATGTCATACACAAGTGAAAAAGGCTCAAATATATATTGTAGGCATACCATTATGCACAAGTACATACATTTTTTTTAATTTAGAACCACAGAAAGAAGCCTTTTTCAGCTTCATTTAAAATGTGGTGACATTAAAATTGCATTTTGTAATCTTTAATTAAGAATGTTAATTACAAAAGTCGACGGTGTCGAGAGAAAGCTGTTAATTATTGTACAGAAGAAACGCAATTGTTGATTATAGACAAATTAAATACTTATAAGAATAACAGTACCCCGTGTATATCTGTTTCGCGTATTACCACAAACCACATTCGAATCCATAATAGTCATAAAAAACTTCATCGGGAACCTTGGTCATAAAATACATACTTTAAAAAGCCAATAAAGCAATGCGAAAAGAAAATAAGAAAATCGATTTGTGAAAACAAAAGAGAAATTATTATGTATGTTGAAGTTAAGTTGGAAAATCTATGACTGTCATACCGACTGCCGCTGTGAATAGTAAGAGTTGTATAGAAAGTATTATTTATGTCCCATAAAATGAGAGTTTCTACAATAAGCAAAGTCCTGACTTTAATTTCACATGGAATATGAGAATTTACATACTGAGGGTAGTTTCACTGCTCGCTAAAAGTGTATCGTTTACTCGACAGGTATCCTGTAAATGGTCTTTTTGATAACCCGTGTTTAGTTTTCCAAAAACTGATAATTTCGTATGTGACATTATAATGTAAATAAACAGTCAAAAAAGGTTTCGTGTTATCGCAATTAGTTGTTGCATAACAATAATGTTTGTATTCGGTGCTAATAATTGGGAAGAATAAAAAATAACTTCAAAACCACTGACTTATTATCGTAAAAAAGTTTGACATGTGTTCAACACGAGTTATAAAAATATCATACAAAAAAACTTGTTTAAATTTTTTGTAGTAAGACCGGAATTATTTAATCACAGAGTTTACTAATTTATCAATTAGGTTTCTTTCCGGATACACTTTCAGAGAGTGGCAAAAGCTACCCTTATTATTCAGTTTAATTTGAGGTCTCCTTATTTTAAGGATTCTCTCAAAGATACAAAAGCGTCCTTAGAATTAAGTACACATTTAGTTATTTATGAATGAAGCAAAATGTAACGGCTGGTTTAATTCATAGAATTATTTCAGTCAAGTGTTCATCGGTCTAATATTATTATATTAGTGTAAAGAAAAAAATAAATATTTAATCAAAAGAATTAATTCTCTTTAATTTTATTTATTGTTGGAGTCTTTTCAAAAATATAATTTACACCGAGCTCAAAGAATGTTCCAAAAGTAGTTTGTATCGAAAACTGTATAATATTAAAGGTGCCTCTTCTCGTATAAAACTATAGACAATATTTTAAATGTATAAGTAATGCGGCATAATAGAACGCTTTGTTTGTGGGCTATAAACTGTAGTGTATTAAAAAGTTGTATGAATTATATTTAGAGATGTACCTTAAACTCGATATGAATGTAAGAGTACCCACTAGCTATGAAAAATATCTACATCTATTCTAAAATTAAAAAAGAAAATTATTACTCGAAGACCATATTTCCTACCTTTTATTTATTTTCTGTTTCCTCTCTTCTTCCTTGCGCCTCTCACTATTAATAAACTGTCCTCTTCTCTCCCTGTCTTTCCTAACCATTCGACTTCCCTGGCTGCATCTCGACGCGGTCTCGGATTCTGATGGGCCAACTCTTCCAACTATCGAATCCTCTACATCACAATATAACATAACCCATCATCAACTTAAAATGTAATAAATAAATAAGTGTTAAAAAAACACGATATTTCTGGTATCTGTGGGCCTAAATTTTCAAAACATCTCCGTATTACTTCTGTTCAGTCGATATCAAGTGGAGATGAAATCTTTGCTCTTTCATGTACATGTCGCTATCTCAAAACCGAATAAGCCACCTTTTGCTGAAAGTATCTAAACCTAAATTTATGTTTAAGTAAATAAATCACCACTACGATATTTTTCTGAGCAGATACTAACATAAATTATTTAAGAGGGACCCATAGTTTTTTCCCCATTGGACACTAAATTGTATCGCAATGGAAATACATAATTATTGTCTTTAATAAAAAAAGGAAGCTTACACACCACACTTATTATATAATAAGAGTAATAATATAAATTAAATATTCAATTGTATCAAAAATAAAAAGGATTAAGATAACTATTGAAGAAAATAGCTAATAGCCTCATGCATGTACCAATAATATAATGTAAAGTAGGTACATATTGGTCCATCCGTGGTTATGATATAACCAATAACTTATCGATTATATTATTGGTCCCTGGTAACGAGAACTGCTAAACCAAACCAGCACTATAAAACTAAATTTACGCGCTACAAACGAATAGAATAACGTCAAATAGTTTTTCTTAAATTAAAATAATAGAAAAAACTGATGAAATGCTTATAAATATACAAAACGAAAAAATGGTCAAGTAGTGCATTAATGTATATAATTGTCTAATGCGCCTTGTAATTTAAAATAGCACATGTTTAAATCGACGCAATAGGAGTAGGCATTATTATTATAAGTAAAGTTCAATGTAACCTATGTGTAGTGCGCTTGAAATGAAATATACAATATAATATGTTAAAAGAAATAGATAACCGACAATGTGCCTGTGTTAGTATGTAAAGTTATTAGAAATTGGATGCTAATAAAAATATAATTTTGGACTTGATGAGCTTCATTGCATTGCTACGATATTTCACCTAAAAATTAAGTTGTCTACCTACTTGGGTATCAATTGAATAAATTCTGGACGCGTTAATTCTTAAAGAATCTTATGATGATATGTATCTATATATAACAGAATCTTTTCTTTTAGAAGGAACTTGTAAAATATTTAAAATTAAATTTAGCCAAGTAATAATTTTAAAGGTATTTAAATAAGGTCAGTTTTTTTTTCTTATCAAGAGGAGTTGCACAACGGTTCTTCTGTTCAGAGCTTCAATTTAGTTTAACACATTAACTAAGTAAGAAGTATATACAAAACATGTAATGAAAATAGTTGAAAGAGATTCCCTCCATTCTAGTGCCAATTTCATAATTACCTATTCGTGTCGTTATTCGCAGTTTAGTTTTTAAAAAAAATATCTTCTTAACCTTTTATATTTATGTGGTTTTAGGTTTGATTAAGTGTAACTGCTTGACCAGACTAAACATGCGGGCGCGGATGCGGCTAGGGTTACCATCCGTCCGGATTAGTCCGGACATGTCCGGACTTTTAGACTATAGTCCTGATTTTTTAAAATTACATTGAATATTAATTTTAAAAGTACCTACATATTGATTTAAATACCATATCAACTAAGTGAGGAATGGTACCATTGTGTAACTAAAAAGTCCGGACTTTTGTCGAAATGTCAGAATTTTTGTCAGGACTTTTGAAATTCCTAAATGGTAACCCTAGATGCGGCCGGAGTGCGAGAACGCGCGCAATGTCAGGTGTCCGTAGTAGAGCGCGCGGTTAGCTCAGAATGGTTTGAGCACCGAGCAAGTAATCTTTTAGTTTGAGATGCACGCTTGTCGACTGCTCACTATACCGATTTACGATACGTCCATCAGTCTAAATTGAGTGGACGTCTTCCAAAACCATAAGTGAATATGGAAAACATAGGCCAATGAGGGCTATCGCGTATGAATCCACCGCTAGAGGCGCTAGTGTAGCGTGAGGTCTCCGAAATGTCAAATGTTATTGCTTGTTGGTTGACTACGCGGGTTTATTTCTTATTATGGCAAATATGAGTTATGTGGCAATGCATGTCAGTTACTAAAAATTTGAGCTTAGAAAAATGATTATGTTCCCATTTTTTCCGAATAAAACGGAACTGGGAGTCACTGTGGCATGGCCTATTATGTTTAGGATATGGTTCTTTTGTTTTAAAATGCGATCTAAATGTAACCTTTGATTTCATGTGCGTATTAATAAACTTTAAAAGTTACAATTTAGGACCTCACTCAACAGTGGCGCCATCTGGTGAGACAGAAAACGGTAGCCCTCATTGAATGGACGTCGTCCCAGCTTTGGATTTCTAAACGTATTGAAATCCATTCGTTCAATCCAAATGGGTAAATGTACTTTGTTTTCTAAACATACTTTTGTTGCCACCGTTAAAAATTTATTGTATTTTTTTTTCTACGTGCATAAAAAGCGTGCAATTCGTTTCGTGACGGGGCGTACGACTAAATGGATGTACTTATAGTGAATTTGGAGTACATACTTCCATTTGGAAGTATTCCATTCTAAATAGACGTCTCGTGAATGACTACCCTTACTGCAGTTAATTGTATGAACGCGCTTAGGCTTGAGTTGCTCGCGTGCCCACTATGGACAAACAAAAAGATTTCATAAGTTTGAGTACATCACACTTGCCCCACGCCCTCGTGTGCAATGTGGCCGAGCACTAACAATTGTGAAAAGAAAAACAAAAATATAGGGAGTCAGTTTCTATGGTAAGCATAAAGATGGCGGAAAGCTCAGTGAACTAAAATGAATTTCATGATACCAGAAAATTAACAGTCATTTTAAATTCGAAATAAGAAAAATATACAAATCGATTAGAAACTTGCTCTCAGCACAGCGGAATATTAATTGAATGTCTTAGTTTGAAATAAATATTAAAGTATTTAACTTGTGATGTGCTATGTCACATTCCCATTTAAACTAGATCCTTTGAAGAATCATTATACAATTATTTTCATGGGAATTCTGTTTTTTTTATTGAAATGTGAAACATCACATTGTCGACGAAAACTCGATGGGTTAAATTTATGAAGGAAAAGCGTAATATTAAATTACCACATTCGTTTGTTTAGGTACGATGCAAGTGTATTTTTTTTTAATTTAATGAATGTTTGCACTCATTAATCTTTATACAATACAAATAATTTTACAATCTTAGTCGCAACACGGTTGCAATAACTGGTTCCAGAGCCTAGTCGCAACACGGTTGCAATAACTGGTTCCAAAGCTTAGTCGCAGCACGGTTACAAACTGTTTCGAGAAGTTATTGCAACCGTATTGCATGCAACTGTTTGCAATAACTGGTTCCAAAGCTTAGTCGCAACACAGTTGCAAAAACTGATTCGAGAAGTTATTGCAACCGTATTGCATGCAACTGGTTGCAATTGCAACCGATTTGCACAATGAAAATAGTCTACCTTCTGAGGTGAAATGGGAATATGACACCATCGGAACACCATGTGAAAACGAAAGTTTTTATTAAATAGTGTCTTCGATACTTATTTAGTTAGTTCGCATTGTTTTTATAAGCTAGGTTTAAACTTACATACTTTACTAACTAGCTTTAATCAATGTCTTTATCATGTGAGTTGTTATTATATGCCGATTTTTTCTTTGCATTTCAGTGACTTTGTTTATATAAAGAAGTATTATAAATTATATGACGACAGTAGGATGTTTTTATTTGTTCTATCTATGTAATGGAGTGACTTCAACAACACGCAGATCCATGGAGCTCCGTAAGATGATCGCGTAGTCAAAATCAATATAAGGCATTATTTAAATATTGATAGTAACCTTTAATACATACTGTATAAGGTCTTAAATAAAACGCATGCGTCAAGGACAACTG